TCTATGGGTCGGTACAGACTCGATGGCACCTAACAACAACAACAACAACAACATGCTGTGATAGAGGAGTCCTGGTGTGGCGCTGTGGGTTAATGTGCCAGACTGCAAAGCCGTTTGAACTGCAACGTTGGCACTTCAAGCTCACCAGCTGCTCCTTGGAAGCAGGGTCACTATGGGTCGGAACCAACTGGATGGCACTAAACAACAACAACAACAACAACCTTTCCAAGAAGCCAAGGGGCAGTTGTTCATACTGAACAAGGGAATACTGAATGGTTTAAAATAAGGAAAGGTGTGCACCAGGGTTGTATTCTTTCACCATACTTATTCAGTCTGTATACTGAGCAAATAATCTGAGAAACTGGATTATATGAAGAAGATAATGGCAACAGTATTGAAGGCAAACTCATTAACAAACTGTGACATGCAGAATAATACAACCTTTCTTGCTATAAAATTGAAGACGTCTTAAAATACTACTGATGATCAAAGACCATAGCCTTCAGTATGAATTGTGCCTCAATATAATTGGGGGGAAAAAAACAATCAAATCCTCACAACTGGCCTAATGAATTGTTGTGGTTAAGTGTCATCAAGTTGGTTCCGACCCAGAGCGACCCTGTGTAGGGTTTCCTGGAAGCAGCTGGTGAGCTTGAACTGGCGATCTTGCAGTTCAAATGACTGCAGTTCGGCGCATTAACTCACAGTGCCACATCAAGACTAATGAATAACAGTGATAAATGGAGAAAAGATTGAAGCTGTGAAAGACTTCATTTTGCTTGGATCTGCAATCAAGACTCATGGAATCAGCCGTCAAGTAAACAAACTTGCATTAGATAAATCTCTGTTTTGTTGTTGTTGTTTTTAATTTCTTCTTTTGAGGTCCACAGTCCAGTACTTTATTTTAAATCAGTAATTTCAGATTCTGAAAAGAAAACTGAAGAATAGCAAGGTGTTTTTGGAATTCTTTTTTCTGTATACCCACTGATCTAAAACCCCACAATATCCAGCATACACAAACCTCAGGGAAGGGTTAGTAAACACACTGGTTGAAAGCACGGTGCTCCTAGCTTCTGAATGGAGTGATCCCACATAGAAAGCACAGAATACAGCACAACCTCAGAGCACCTGTTTCACATGAAGTGAACAAAACACACTAGCAATTTCTCTGTGCGTAATGGGGAACCTACATGGGCTAGAGGGCATTTTATGCTCATTTAAAAATCAGGCAAGTTGTCGGTATGCATTTTTCAAATAATTTGGAGAGCAGTGCAATCTTGTGTAGGATGTACTGGCTAGTGTTGTCTTTGTTGGCATTGACAGTCTTGCACAAGAGCTCTTTAAAGTGTTCAGGAGCAAAGATTACTGAGGACTAAGGTGCGCCTGACCCAAGCCATGGGATTTCCAATAGCCTCATAGGCATGTGAAAGTTGGACAGTGAATAAGGGTGACCATAGAAGAATTGATGCGTTTGAATTACGGTGTTGGAGGAGAATATTTAAAGTACCACGGACTGCCAGAAGAACAAACAGATCTGTGTTGGAAGAAATACAGACAGAGAATGCTCCTTAGAAGCCAGGACTGTGAGACTTCATCTCTCATGGTTCAGCCAGATTATCAGGAGGCACAGTCCCTGGAGCCAGGACCTAATGCTTGGTAAAGTGGAGGGTCATCGAAAAAGAGGAACACCCGCAATGAGATGAACTGGTACAGTGGCATCAGCAATGAGTCAGGTATACATACCAGCAGTTATGAGGATGGCACAGAACTGGGCATCTGTTGTTTTATTCTGTTGTGCATAAGGTTGCTATGAGTTGGAGCTGACTTGGTGGCACTTAACAACAACCAGGTGTTTTCAAAATTTTGCCCTCTGTATGCTTCCACCACATTTATGGATACATTTGCAGCAAAGATCAATATCCAAGTGCAAATATCCTCTGTCAGATCCTTGTATAATTGTGGGCACAACCGTACTGTCTTTCCCACACCTGTTCAGCCTGTGTGTGTAAGCATTCTCTCCCCATATCACTGTGATTGCCAGATTGTTTATGTGGAAGTGTTTCTCTCTGTTCCCTTCAGCTCTTGCAACCCTCCCTGTGTCTTCTCTTGCCTTTGTCATTCTTTAACCAACTCACTCTTATTGTATATCACCTTTCTCTTCACTCAAGTCAACACATGTCTACCCTCTAATCAATGGGCTGCCCGCCCTCCCTTCCACCCCTGGTTTCCATGAACTTTTTGAAGCCCTCTTGAAGGTAGAATGCAGTCTGTCCCTGTTTGCTGTGTAGAAACACGCTTGAGGTTGAGATGACAACTCTACTGGGAATCGTTGGAAGAAACAGAGAGCTCTAGTAACTTGCTTACTCATTTGACACCATACTGCTTTCTAAGTCATCCTGAAAATACATTGGTATTGTACCACAGCCCAAGTCTGAATAGAAAATGTTAGGGTTTACATTTCCGCCATCACTGCTCTTCTCTTGTTGTCATAAGGGGGCCTAGAGAGCTTTGCTTGTTTTTTTTTGTTTGAAAGCAAGTTTTTATAAAGCGTAACGGAAAGGTTTTTTCTTTCATGTTACTAGCTGGTAGATAACTGTTTATGGCAATTTGATTATTTTTATATGCAACAAATGTTTTTCCAGGCAATTTGTCTTTAAAAAAAACCCCAAACTTACCCCACTGCCATCGAGTTGATTCTGATTTATAGCGACCTTCTACTGGGGTTCTGAGACCGCAGATGTCTATGGGAGTAGTCATCCTCATCTGTCTCCCATGGAGCGTCTGGTGGGTTTGAGCCACCCACCTTACCCAACACCTGACACTTAGCCCCAGCAGGTGTCTTAACTTTCCCGAAGAGCTTTGAAAACAAAACGTTCTCTGTAGTTGGAAATGAAATTGAGAAAACACAGTGAGAGGAAGAAGATGGGTGAGAGTGTGAAGGTAGGAAGGGAATTGTCTTAGTTGTCTAGTGCTGATACAGCAGAAACACCACAAGTGTTTGATTGTGACAAATAGAAATGCATTCTCTCACAGTTAAGAGTCTCGAAGTCCAAATTCAGAGTGCCGTCTCCCTTTGTCGGCTCAGAGGAAAGGTTCTCGTCTCCTGTCAGCATCCGTAGGCCCAGGGTTCCTTGGCGATCTCCATGCATCTTGGCATCAATCTTCCCCCTGGATCTAGGAACCTCATGGTGCAGGGACGCACACTCCCTACTCCTGACTCTGTGTTCCTGTTGGTAACAGGTCTCTGTTTTCTGCTCACTTTTCTCTCCTTTTATCACTTGTCAGATTCAGGTGTTGCAGGCCACGCCCTTGTGACTCTCCCTTACCTAGGAGCAGGTTTGTGATGGGATTAAGGGTGGTGTGTTCCACCCTTAATCCTCCTGTTGGTTTCTCACCTAAAATCACGTCCTGGGGATCATCTCACACAAACCACTGAGAATCCTGGCCCAGCCAAGCTGACCCTGATTGTGGAGGGACACAGTGAACGCCATGGGAGGAGCTGTCCCAGGAGAATGAGGACAGCTTCGGTTCCATTGGTGTGGCCCCGTGGACGCGCGTAGGAGCCTCGCTCAATTCTAGCTCCCTTAGGAGGACTCCCACTTGAGCAGGTTCTAGAAAGTGCTGGGACATTTTGGTGCTGAGGTCTAGGTGAAGTGTGTGTAACACAGCATCCTTTGCCACTAAAATAGCCCCAAACCCAAATTTGTAGCCACCGTGTTATCACTTGTAACAGCAGGAGTTAACCAGCACCCCAATTCCTTTATAAAGAAGTAAGTTTAATTACTGTGTTCCCAGGACATCGCCAAATTAATCTCCATTGATTGGTATTGACTCACTGAGACTTATTTTTTTTGTAAAATACCAAACAAACCAGTGGACTGGCTCTTTAGAGTTCATTAGCCGCAAGCAAGGATGTTGATGTTGTTGTTCAGTACCCTTGAGTTGGTTCTGACTCATAATGACCCTGTATAGGGTTTCTGAGGAGTGGCTGGTTAGTTTGAACTACCTGTGGTTAGCAGTCCAGTGCTTATCCTAGAGCACCACATAATGATCCCGTTTAAGTTCCATAAAACACCAAGTATTCAGAAACACAGGGTGAAACTTGTGAGAACTGGAACTTGATGGGACTGCATTGGTTTTCCTGGTCTTACAAGTTTCCCTTGCAAGTTGGCTGTACTGTTGAGAGCAGGCCTTTGCTCGTGTACTGGCCTGTTCTGCCTGCTGCATCCAAATCTGTCTGGCTTCAGGAGCCACAGGTGGGAAGACAGGTGACTTGGTGACATCTTCAGGACCTCTGCTGCCTCATACCCACCTTCACTTAACGTGTTGAGCTTCACAACTCTGGACAGCTTACGTGTGTTCGTTTGTAAGTATGTGCCTTTGAGCTTGAAAGCAGTTTTTAAAAGATGAAGACAAAGAAATAAAAATAAAAGCAGATCCCAAGAAGCGTAACCGTTTGTTCTAATGGAAACTGTCAGACAGAACTTTTAGGTGCCCGTGGCACTGTAGGTTAATGCACAAGGTCGGCAGTTCAAGCTCACCAGCTGCTCCGTGGAAACCCTATACAGGATCGCTATGGGTCGGACTCGACTTGACGGCACTTAACAACAACAACCACAACATTTACGAGAAGTGATGTACGAGGATGAACATACAATGCTCAGAAAAACTGTTGATTTTGGCGGGTAGATGTCCACGCTGATCGGAATGTGTGTGCAAGCTTAATGATGTGCTCATTCTCATACACAGCCTGTTTTCTCTTCCACACATGCAGAGAATCCTCAAAATCTGCTTGACTTAGGAAAATCGAGCATGAATAGGACTTTGTTTCTGGGAGAGGCAGACAAGGAGGGATCGTTTCAGATTTACAGAAAAGTTGGACTGATAACACAGAATTCCCCTATACACCCGACCCAGTTTCCCCCACTTAACCTGTCATGTCACTATCATGCACTGGCCCTAAACGAGAGATGGACACGGGCGCAGTGCTTTTAGCTGAACTCCAGGCTGCATTTGGAGTTCCCTAGCTGATTCCATCTGTGTCCTGCTTCCTTCCAAGGTTCTTGTTGTTGAGTTAGTTCTGACCCATAGAGATCCTGTATAGGGTTTCTGAGGAGCTACTGATGAGCCTGAACTACGAACCTTGTGGTTCAAGTTGACTTTGCAGTCTAGCGCATTAACCTACAGTGCCGCCCCAGAACTCCACGTGACGTTTGGTTGCACGGCAGTCCGGTCTCTTCTGGTCTCATTCCCAGGCCTTCTTTGGGTTTCATGACCATGATAGACTTGAGTTCAGGCCAAATAGCCTTTAGCATGTTGCTCAATTTGGGTTTGTGAATTTTCTTGTGATTTAGACTAGGGTTGTGGGCTTTTGGCAAGACTATAACAGAGATGAAATATCTTTCTCATCACATCTCATTGGGGGTATTTCATACTCGGATGATGTCACTGGTGATGTTAACTTTGATCATACAGTTGAAGGTAGTGGTTGCCAAGTTTCTGAGATATAAAATTGCTCTTTTTCCATTTCCTCACTTTGTTATTTGGAAATGAGTCATTAGGCAAGATTTCAGAGTTTATGCACAAGTGCGAAGAAAGCTAGCTAAGGGAAAGATAACAGATAGCTGTTGTTGTTGTTAGGTGTCATCGAGTCAGGACTGACTCATAGCGACCTTATGCACAGCAGAACAAATCACTGCCCAATCCTGGGCCAACCTCACTTCTGTTGCCATGCTTGAGTCCATCGATGCTGCCACTTGGCCAGTCCATCTCCTTGGGGGTCTTCCTCTTTATATCTGACCCTCCATCTTATCAAACATGGCATCCTTATCCAGCAACTGGTCCCTCCTGACAGTATGTCTAAAGTATGAGAGACGCAGTTTGGCCATCTTGGTAGATAGATATAAAAAGACACAGACACCTGTGTAGTTTTTATTTGTAAATATCTTTTGCTTTGCTTTCATTGTAACTAGATTGAAGTTTTCACTTTGCTTTTGTTTCTTTTGAGAGAGATTAAATTAATCTTGAAGGAAATACAACTAGAATTCTCTCTAGAAGCAGGGGTGGTGAGACTTTGTCTTGTTTCCTTTGGACACATCATCAGAAAGACCAGTCTCTAGAAAAAGACCTCGTTTGTGGTGAGGTAATGCTGCAGCAAACATGGCGACAATGACATGGCGGACAGGAGAACCGTAGCAGTGGTTTCAAGCATACAATGCGAGTGAAGATGGCACAGTACCGGGGGATGTTTTGTTGTGTGAGGCACAAAAGGTTGCCATGAGTCAGAGCGGGCTAAGCAGCAGCTAACAACAGCAGCTAGCATGACCTTTATAATTTAAGTCAGGAAACGAGCCCAGTTAGAAGTACTATTGCGAGAGTCAGAATTGCCACCTCTCATGGTTAGGACTTGAGGTTTTTGTTCCTAAGCCTTTGTAGATAACAAAGTTTCTCTTACCGTTCTTGTCCCCCAATCTGCCCCCCTGTAGTTTTCCCTGTCTCAGTAAGTGGACCTCCATCCATTTAGTTGCCAAGACCAAGACTTCACAGCCATCCTTGACTCTTCTTTTTCTCAACCTTTCCATTGCTCAGATGATCCCTGTGACTCTTCAAAACATCTCCAGAAACTCATGCTTCTCACCATGGGTTTAGATGCCTGTTGTTATTAAGTGCTGTCGAGTGGGTACCGACTCACTGCAACCCTGTATAGGATTTCCAAGGAGCTTCTGGTGGGTTTGAGCCGTCAGCCTTGCCATTAGCCCTCCAGTGCTTACGGTATAGTGCCACACCTGGATTTCCTAGATAACTTAAGATGAAGACGTTTCAATGCCTGAGATATAGTGCTAGCAGAGGGGTTTCCCGCCATTGCAGCGCTGGCTGTTATGTACTGTCAAGTCCATTCTGACTCAGCAGTAACCCTATAGAGCAGACTAGAACTACCCCACAGCGTTTACTTGGCATGCATTTCTCTCACAGAGCCGCAGGATGGGTTTGAACTGCTAACCTTTTGGTTAGCAGCCTTGAACTTAACCATGGAACCACCAGGATTCTTTGTGCTCTGTATTTCTTTTCTTCTGTGCAAGCTCAGGCTGAAGCTGAAGAAGATGAAAACAAGTCCACCAGAGCCAAAAGATGACCTTGAACATAGCCTACCTGAATTTTCAGATCATCTCAAGAAGAGATTCAGTACATTAGACACTAATGACCGACGGGCAGCAGAGTTGTGGGATATCATCAAGAAGAAAGCAAAAGGTCATTAAGAAGACAAGAAAAAAGGAAAAAAAAAAAACAAACACAAAATGGATGTAAGAAGAGACTCTGAAACTTGCTCTGCAGCAAAGAGATGCTAAAGCAAATGGAAGAAATGAGGAGGTAAAAGAGCTGAACAGAAAATTCGAAGGGCAGCTCAGGAATACAAAGTCAAATATTATAATGAAATGTACAAAGATCTGGAGTTAGAAAACCAAAAGGGAAGAAAATGCTCAGCATTTCTCAAACTGAAAGAATTGGAGAAAAAAATTCAAGCCTCTACTTGAATGATTCTTTGGGCAAAATATTGAATGATGCAGAAACATCAAAAGAAGAGGGAATGAATACACGGAGTCACTGTACCAAAAAGAAGTAATTGATGTTCAACCATTTCAAGAGGTAGCATATAATCAAGAGCCAATGATACTGAAGGAAGAAGTCCAAGGTGCATTGAAGGAATTGGCAAAGAACAAGGCACCAGGAATTGATGGAATACAAATTGCAATCTTTGAACAAACTGATGCAGCACTGGAGACACTCACTCATCTATGCCAAGAAATTTAGAAGACAGCTACTTGGCCAACTGACTGAAAGAGACCTGTATTTGTGTACCCATTCCGAAGAGAGGTGACACAGCAGAATGCAGAAATCATCAGAAATATCATTAATATCACATGCCAATAAAATTTTTTTAAAGATAATTTAACAGCATCTGCAACATTACATTGACAGGGGACTGCCAGAGGTTCAAGTCGGATTCAAATGAGAATGTGGAACAAGGAATATCATTGCTGGGGTCAGATGGATCTTAAGTGAAAGCAGAAAAACACCAGAAAGATGTTTACCTGGTCTTTATTGACTGCACAGAAACTTTTGACTGTGTGGATCCTGATATGCTATGACAACACTGCAGAGAATGAGTATTCCAGAACGCTTAATTGTGCTCATGAAGAACCTGTACATAGACCAAGATGCAGTCGTTCAAACAGAACAAGGTGCACGGAATGGTTTAAGATTAGGAAAGGTGTGCTCCAGGGTTTTACTTACTCCATCTGTGTGGTGAGCAAATAATCTACGAAACTATTATATGAAGAAGAACGGGGCATCAGGATTGGAGGAAAATTGATTAACAACCTGTGACAGGCAGATGATACAATCTTGATTATTGAAATTGAAGAGGGCTTAAAATGCTTACTGATGAACATGAAACACCACAGCCTTCAGTATGGATTGTACCTAATGTAAAGAAAACAAAAACCTCACTACTGGACCAATAAATAACATCTTAGTAACTGGAGAAAAGATTGAGGTTTCAAAGACTTTATTTTGCTGGGATCCACTATCAACACTCACGGAAGCAACAGTCAAGGAATCAAACAATACCTTTGCATTAGGCAGATTTACGCACAAGACTTCCTTAGTGTCGAAGAGCAAAGATGTGAATTTGAGGACCAAGGCAGTGCAGTGGTTAAACTCCAGGCTGTTAACTGAAAAGTTGGCAGTTTGAACCCGCTGTAGGCTCTGTAGGGGAAAGATGTGACAATCTGCTTCCATAAAGAGTCAGTTCTGACTCATAGTGACCCTGTATAGGGTTTCTGAGGAGTGGCCAGTGGGTTCGACCCACTGATTTTGTGCTTATCCTACAGTGCCACACCTTACAATCTTGAAAAACCCATGGGACAGTTCTTCTGTCTCCTGTAGGGTCATTATGATTTTTTTTCCTTTGGCTTTATGGTGTGGGAGTAT